GTTGCTGTGGTAATAATGCAAATAAGACACAACATTAAAACCACTGACAGGTGACAAGAATAATTTCTGGCATTTATATTCAGGCCTGATGTACCACACACCCAAACACCAATGCAGAGCACATAAAACCCTTATTGCCAGCTCTATATGTGATAGCAGTGGCTTCCCCCTGCAAGAAAACGTACATGACACACTGGAGAAAATACTAAGGAGTCCCCCCAGAGCCCTGTAATGGTGTCATTTTAAAATTATACCAGTTACACCAGCTGCAGTTACAACTTAATGTTTATTGTTATGCACAACTCAAAAAATTATATATTTGAGTGTAGCATCAAGTTAATTAAACTTCTGGATATTGATCTGGTCAGCAGAAAGGATCTTTAATCAGTTTCAGCTGCTTTGGTGTTAATGAAATTAACAAGAGGTGCCAGAGGCAATAAACTATAGAGGATACAAAGGTAGTCCAAGTCTTCCAGAATGGCACATCAATACATGGCACTGCATTCAAGTATGAGCATTACCAGTGCCATACAAAACACTGTAGGACACTCCAATAGCTGTGTTGATATCACAGGTAAATGATTTCAATACATGTGATCGGTGTGTTCATATGCATATGAACCTGCCAGACTGGTTTGATAGTGTATGTTAATGATAAGAGCCAATACAATGCTTTTACAGTCATCAAAAAATAGCAGTGGATCTTCTACCTCTCATTCTAAGAAATATACCATTTACTGAAGGAACCGTTCAGCACAACCTTTGAAAGTGTTTTACTCTCTCAAATTATCGTGTTGCTGCACTGTGGCATACTCCTATTTTGAACAGTATAATAAAGAAATACTCCAGATTAATCCAGATTAATGTCAGGTTATATTTCATCTGTTACACTTGTTTGCTATAATGTTGTTTCAAAATCCGGTTTGCAAACATTTCCTCCGAGACAAACCCAAGCAAAAGACAAATCAAAACAAACAAACACAAAATCATTTTTTTCACTCAAAAAAGTGAATACTATGATAGAGATAAAGTACACTGTAATATCAAATTAGTTCCCAGAATGTAAAAACTTATTCTTTCTGAGCAACCATGTTTAAAATCACAGCTCAGTTTCCTGCTAAATTTACTTTGTTGTTTCATGTAAACTCCTTAACAGACCATTTTGAAAGTAATATGTCATCTCAGCTCTTGTGCCTCTGCTTATTCACCAGAGAAAGAGATAAATGCTAAAAAAAAATACAACCTGTAAAAATGAAGGCAAAAATAAGTAAGACTTTAAATCCTGGGACAAAGTCAATCATTCGACTGACAGAAGCTCCACAACAGGAAGACAGATTGCTTGTTTAACGACCGGCACCCTCTTCTTTGTCTAAAATAAATTTATAGATTTTATTTAAATACAGATAAACATCGAACTAAATACATAAGAAATACATAATACATTTATAAACAGTGTTCACTTTTTTGGTACATAGCTTAGTCTGATTTATGCTTTTCTGTAAAGAATAAGATGTGACTCAGCTACTTATGTGCATTTATATTTATGGGTATATGGTTTTTAGCTTGTGAAACCGGGCTGTTGCAATAAAAAAGAAAGAAGAAAGAAAGTGCTTCTAAAATGAAAAAAAAAGAACAAAACAAAAACAAAACAAGGAGGCAGAAAACCTGTCAGGAGTGAGAAACACCAAACTAATGCAAACCAATCCATGACTCTTACTGTTTGGTCAGTTGGAGGGTAATGTCATTTCTAAGTGAATCACATTGAGTTATATAATACATTTGACTTCCTTGTTGATTAACTGCCTGTTGTGTAACACAGTTAAGACTATAGGCATGTTAGAAAACTGTTTCTTCTTCTTGCTCCTATTTGTAAATTGGGTGTGATTTATCATGAAGAGGAAAATATTTTAACAGAGGATTTAGCTAGTGTCAAAGGAAAATTACCAGTGATTAAAATAATGAACACAAACAGTAATTCCATAATTTTCTAATAATATTCAAACTTATTTCTCACACTAGCCTAATCCTGAAAAACGAAAACAACTTCTTGACTGGACCTCAGCAATCAAATTTGAAGCTAGAGGTTATGGGATTTCAGTTTTATCAACCAGAATTTCACAAGTACTACGATGAGGCTGTACTTTACTGTGTGGAGGTTCTGGAATGTAGACTATTACTGCAGCTGGAGGCATTTTCAAAATGTGGAGCAGCCAGTTATGTGGGGCATTCTTGAAAATTATTTGCTGTGATTTCGTCCATTGTCTATGCTTGTCATCTTTTTCTTTTCCTTCATGTTTTTCTCAGGGCTGTGCAATATTTGAATTTGCACAGTCTCTATCATATGCTCTCATACTGACATGCCCTTCACAATATTATTCAAGTGTAAGTTTAAAAAAATGAAATTAAGCATTTAGCATTTAGCTTTTTTAATATGATACCCCACCCTCTCCAATCCAGACCCAACGACCACCACCACCCTCTCCAATCCAGACTCAACGACCTCCACCACACCTCTCACCCCCCTTTCCTCCTCCCTGAAACTCAGAAT